TGGCAGAGGTGTAGCGATGGTATAATTACCCGAGTTTGTGGTACTTCCTCTCAGCGGAAGATATCTAAGGGATGTGCGGTCCCTCACAAAGGACCGAATCATTTTGCATATTCTCGCGGGAAGTCCGCGAGAACACGACCACTTCGCCGCAACTATTTTATAGAAAAACCGCGACTGTTCTTCGAGTAGTCTAAAAATGCCCAACATTCTTCCAAATTTCCGCAGACGGAAAATAGTTCGTGGGAAACCAGCGAACTATTTTCCGGTGCTGCTTGCCCAAAAATCTCAAAACCGCCTGCCCTCGGCGACTATCTGAGTATCTGTTGAGTTTGGTTTTCTACAAATTTGGAGCTAGCTTGTGAGTGAATTCCATATTCCTGAACTCCTACAGATGGCATGCGATAAGGTTCTTAGTACCTGGTCGTCGAAATGCACAAAGCTGTTCCTTTTCATATGAAAGATGTGTAGTCATACGCTTTGCATGGGGTGATAGCACTTGGATTATTTTGGACTCAAAGCTGGCGGCGATAACGACTGAACGTTGTTTTCCGTCGTCCTCTGTAAAAGGCCGCTTATCATGAGTCAAGCTGGACGGAAGCGGAATTCGTTTGAAATCACGAAATATCTACGCGAACCACACCGAAGCAGGCTCGTCAGCAAGTGGTGGATATCAATAAAGGGAATACCGTTCCTTGTGGAACGGTTCTTGGAGAAATTACTAGGCTCTATAATTCCAATGTGCCCTAAACGCATCGTGCCCATGAAAAGTGCAAGGCTTTCCTAATTACCTATATTCTACTTAGCTCAGTGAATCCCTGCGAAAAATGGAACATGATTACTTTGAGCACTACTAATTTTGCAAAGTGTTATTACAGGTAATAAGGTCTTCATATCACACAAGAAGTAGACGAAAGGCAAGCAAATTTAGATAATGTTCCAATTTAAAAATGAACGACATCTGCGCAGGAAAAATGCTTCAAAGATAGAGGATCTCTAAAAGAATAGACTAGTTCCGAATACGGACTGAGCGCGGCGTCATCGTTAATCAGCCCTGATAAGGTAATGTTGAGTTCCATACCAGCAGATTTTGAGCTTAACGTGCTGTACGTATACATATTTTCGTCATCGTCTAAGGCCACTTTTATGGAAATTTGCGGGTAATGCTGGCACTTCGATTATAGGCAGGTTAGGTGAGACCATGATCGATACTTTGAGCGGTTTGTTTAGATGCCTGCTCACGATGCTTATGCTGCCGCTCTTCATTCCTGAAAGCAGTCACTCCTTCCCCGCACAAGGGTTCAGATGGGCATATTTCGTTGCCATCATGTACCGCCTCTTGTGTTTTTTTGTTACTCCGTTCCAAATATTATGAGGACTGAATTACAGTGCGTCTTAGAATTGATTAGAATCTCTCATTTGTATAAGCTCCTGCAAGACGAAGGCGGTTGGTTCGAGGCGCGACGCTGCTGTGACGCAGCCATGTCGCAGCCGCGTTGCACAATGAACCGACCGCCTTCGTCTTGCAGGAGCTTATATACCCTGTTTCTTCATTTTTCTTTTTCCAGATCGACACAATTTTCGCGTTCTGCTTCAAGCCTGTCTTTGTAAGTTCATGTTTCTTTCACTTTTTGCTTGCTCATTCCCCCTTATAATGAAATCTATCAATACGTGTGAATCGCAATGAACGATCCAGTAAGATGAGCATTGTCACACTCGTGTCTGTTACTTAATTGCCATTCTTGACTTAATCTTTGTTTTAACGAGATTAGCAGTCGGGAAGCGACTGCTCGCACTCGCGGCGCAGGCTCGAGAGATTCTTGTTCTTTAGCTTGATTAGGCTCGTTTCCAGCCACCAATCCCGTTGAATCAAAATGTACCACTGTTTCGTGACTTACCTAGCCACATATCTTTCTTTCATTCACATTTAATGTAGCTTCGCAAGTAAAAAGTTTTTTCACTTTATGTATACGGCGCGAGCAAGCATTGTTCGATTATGAGGGACCTTTTCAGGCACATGGTTTGTTGTCCTAGTGCTGTTTTTTAGTTACAGTACTTAGTCAACACAACCAAAAGAGGCGGCAGGCTGCCTCTTACCTCTCCCTTTGCCGTTAACCTTGCTTGACATTATGAATGTCTCCCTGCAGCTATGGTGTGCTAAGTACAGTGTGATTGTGAACACTGCTCGCATTGTTTGCCATAAATTGAAGAGTGAGCTTGCAAAGGATTTCATTTGATGATTTCGGAAGATCCTCTGCTATCTTCCCAAACTGCCGTGTGTTCATCTTAGGAAGCTTCCCATCAGTACTTTTCAGAGTACGATTCTTCGCTCCCGTTCGTGCAATCGCATCCAGATTTCCAGTATACAAGTACAATTGCCTTCAATTAAAATTCTAAATTTTTTCCTAAACACTGCGAAAGAATTTTCTTGCAGTGCGTTGTAGCCAAAAGCTTGCTCTGTCACACCGCATATTTGCCTGATGAAATAAACAGCTATCGTAAAGGCGTGGGATGTATACATAACGATTGTATGCGTGCCACGACAGTCGGAATCGCCAAGATTTCAAGGGGCTGCTTTGAATCCAGAAGAGGCAACCTCAAAATTTGAAAGCAGCGTTGTATTAGTAAAGGTTCGATTTATGTGTGCACCGAATTTTTTGTTCCTAGGCACTTTCCTTCTGATTTTATCTGAAAAAGTGCTAGGCTCCCAGACTTTTGCCCCACCCTGTAATTATAAAAACACCTAAGAAATCATTGTAATTTTCGTTCTTGTCAATGAACCTGCCTGAAACTTTGCTGTGTTGTGCCATGTTAACCTACCATGATCCCTCAAAACGGTTTCCAATTTTGTTGAGTTCGAACGGAGGAAAAAAATGAAAAATGAATAACCTTATATCGAGGGCTGGACAAAATTATAAAGACACCTGAGTTTTTTCAAACAACATCGCATCCTCCGACTTTGAAATTTTTTTGTCAGTTACATACTAAAACATCGGTACTTTTCCTTTATCCTGACATATTTTTCAAAAGGCTTTCATAAAATACGCTATTTAGTCTGAGAACAATTCCTCATAGATTCTACGAGGACTACCTCCCTACCACGTGTCAAGAAAAACTAACACATTTTGGTTAAGTTTGGCATGATTTTTAAAACATTCCCAGTGAGATGAAAGAACATTTTTAATCACCTAAAACGGTTCAACTGTTCCTTTAAGAGCAAAACAATTTAGAACTTATATTTTGAAAGCAAAAAATGCAGACAACATTTTTTCTTGAGAAAGATAGATCGCATATGTTGCAATTATTAGGTTAACAGTTTCCCTTTCTTCTATGTAAGAAGCTCCATTATAAGTTCTAAATTGTTTTGCTCTTAAAGGAACAGTTGAACAGTTTTAGGTGATTAAAAATGTTCTTTCATCTCACCGGGAATGTTTTAAAAATCATGCCAAACTTAACCAAAATGTGTTAGTTTTTCTTGACACGTGGCAGGCAGGTAGTCCTCGTAGAATCTATGAGGAATTGTTCTCAGACTAAATAGCGTATTTTATGAAAGCCTTTTGAAAAATATGTCAGGATAAAGGAAAAGTACCGATGTTTTAGTATGTAACTGACAAAAAAATTTCAGAGTCGGAGGATGCGATGTTGTTTGAAAAAACTCAGGTGTCTTTATAATTTTGTCCAGCCCTCGATATAAGGTTATTCATTTTTCATTTTTTTCCTCCGTTCGAACTCAACAAAATTGGAAACCGTTTTGAGGGATCATGGTAGGTTAACATGGCACAACACAGCAAAGTTTCAGGCAGGTTCATTGACAAGAACGAAAATTACAATGATTTCTTAGGTGTTTTTATAATTACAGGGTGGGGCAAAAGTCTGGGAGCCTAGCACTTTTTCAGATAAAATCAGAAGGAAAGTGCCTAGGAACAAAAAATTCGGTGCACACATGAATCGAACCTTTACTAATACAACGCTGTTTTCAAATTTTGAGGTTGCCTCTTCTGGATTCAAAGCAGCCCCTTGAAATCTTGGCGATTCCGACTGTCGTGGCACGCATACAGTCGTGATGTATACATCCCACGCCTTTACGATAGCTGTTTATTTCACCAGGCAAATATGCGGTGTGATAGAGCAAGCTTTTGGCTACAACGCACTGCAAGAAAATTCTTTCGCAGTGTTTAGGAAAAAATTTAGAATTTTAATTGAAGGCAATTGTACTTGTATACTGGAAATCTGGATGCGATTGCACGAACGGGAGTGAAGAATCGTACTCTGAAAAGTACTGAAATAGCTTGATTGATCGAACTCAAGTACATGCTTGCATAGAAGACTCATGGAAAGAATATAGCCTAGAATTCAATGCCTGCTGTACTCCTATAGCTTTAAAATTTATTTCAAAGGAAAATGGCCGCTGGCACGCAGGTAGTATTCACAAATTTTTATTTTGCGTTTTCAAAAGAATAGTATCTGACAAACGCAACGGCTAAGAATTGGTAGTGCGAAGTCTCCTCTACATTATGTGCATCGAAATGTTTTAGAATATCCACTGTATCTTTAGTTACGAAATAAGTTGTGAAGACCAAAAATTTTGATTTTCTCGTTTTGCAGAGCACTTGTTTGATAAATCCAACTCCTACAAAAAACATATGGCAAGCATTTTCAGCCAGCCAAAGTATTGTTTGTAGAGGATGGTTGCAGCAATATGCGGCACAAATTTGGAGTCAATCATTAGTAGTTCCTTGATTTACAGCACTGCAAAATAGGCTCCCAGACTTTTGCCCCACCCTGTATGTCCAGTACAGTATATCACTGGATTATTTCTGTTTCGTCACTAAAAGACTAGCGGTTTGTTTTAGCTTGTAGCTCACACTCTAACTCCATTCTACATAGTTTAGAAAAAGGTTGCGCCAAGATCAAATCAGTTGTAAAACTTAGTTAACAATCTAATTGTTTGCTAAGGTAGGCAGCCTTTTTGTCATAAAGCAATCAGATAATTTTTCGTGTACCTGATCCGACTCTTCTTGCGTAGGTAATGTAGTTAATTTTGTACGTTGAGGATCGCTCTTCTTCGGTCTGAGGAGCATGTTCAGCTTTCTTAGAGCTTTTATCTGCTTTACTGGACTATCCGCAGTGGCTGTTTTTGGTTCATTCCCATCATTTGTCCCATGCGACGTAGAGGTCTTTCTATCTTCAGCTGGTGTCGTCTTTCTTTCTATAGGAACATTCTCTTTCGACTTAGGCTTCTTCGTCCCTTTGTTCAAATTCTTAGCGCCACTTTTGCTTTTGCATTTCGCTGATCTTCTCCTTGAAGGCTTGCATCTAGTTTTTGCAGCCTGAAAATCTCAGTTTTATCTGCTTTTCAGTTATCAGGTAGAACTGAGAAAAATGCCAGTAAAAGCAGAGCTGTTCATGTATAGGATGTACGTATACAGCTCTGTTATCACATCTAGAGGTTAGGTTGTACGACTGATCCAGCCTGTCTACAGATTCTGACGAACAGACCATATCAGCAACTTTGAGAATGAATCAAGATAATAATTCTATTGAATTAGGCTTTTTATATCAATATGTTTATGTGTGAGGACTGTATGTGTCGCTGTGAATAAAACTTTGGAAATTTGGATATTTTGCAAACGAGGGTATACTCAGTTCACAAAAATGCTGAGAAGCTTGGAGCTGAGAAACCTAAGGGTGCAGGTTGATCTTTTGCTTTGTATGTGCATCCAATTCAAAGTACAGAAGTTTTCTTATAAGATGCTCACAAATTCTGCAATTGCAAGAATAGTAATAACATTATCAATCCCAAACCATAGCCATCGATTTCCCATAAAAATGCACGAATAACATAAACTGAAAGATAACCAGCGAGAATCTTTGTGGTTTATCAGCCAATAAAATAATGAAGTTGATGCAAAACGAACGCATTTTCGTTATGCCCTAGCAATTAGATAAAAATTATGGTGATCATTTGATAGAGTAAGGCAAAATCTGAAAGATGGAATTGAAACATTTGCACAGAGATTGATATAGAGCATAAAGTGCGGTTCATAATTGTACGAACACCCAAAATTTTATAAGTTTTTGGACTTTTCGGGAGAAACTCAAAAAGCCGTTGGTATCACGCGATAGAACACAGCCGAAAACGGTATATGATCCATAAGAATGGAAATTGTTTTCAATCTCAGGAGTGTTTTTGCGCCTAATGCGAATTTTTAGCGGTTCATAATTATACGAACACCTTAAACCAAGGCCCATTTTTTATTCAAGATTGGAATAATTTGAGTCCAAATTTTTTTGTAGAGTTACAGTAACAAAGTCTGACATATCTGCTACACACTGGACCCGATGCAGTTTAAAAAGAGGACCATTACTTTTTTCCGAAGGCTCCAAATGCTTTTGGAGTGATTGCGCTTCAAAAACATCAGTTCTTCTGTGGTTTATGCGCTTCAATTATCTACCAAAGCTATACGATAAAATAAGCTCTTTCGATAGGTATTTTGTTTGACGCTTGGAAAATCTTTGCGTTTTCGTGCCGTTTTTCAACCAAGTTTCAACCTTACCCCAGAGTTAGCACGATTTCGAGCCTCAAAACTCAGCTTCTCTCTTGCGCAAACATTTGATATGAAACAGCTGCACTGTTTGCATGATGATATTTCTGTGCCAAAGTTTTTGGTTTTTTTGTAGAACTGATCTCGAGGCTGTGGAGCTACAAACCAAGTAAAGGTGTGATTGCAATAGTAGAAACAGTGTTTTTGGTGAAATGACGTCTGCGTGGCCAAAACAAACGCCTAATGCTGCTGATTTTTTCTAGCAAATACACTAATACGTCTTGTGAACTTCTATATACTACTTCTATATACTACGTTCCGTTTCTCAATCAAGCTCTAATCTTACCCTAGAGTTGGCACGATTTCGAGCCTCAAAACTCAGCTTCTGAAGCCCTACAATAAAGTAAGCTTATAGTATATAGAAGTTCACAAGACGTATTAGTGTATTTGCTTTTGTTTTGGCCACGCAGACGTCATTTCACCAAAAACACTGTTTCTACTATTGCAATCACACCTTTACTTGGTTTGTAGCTCCACAGCCTCGAGATCAGTTCTACAAAAAAACCAAAAACTTTGGCACAGAAACATTATCATGCAAACAGTGCAGCTGTTTCATATCAAATGTTTGCGCAGGAGAGAAGCTGAGTTTTGAGGCTCGAAATCGTGCTAACTCTGGGGTAAGGTTGGAACTTGGTTGAAAAACGGCACGAAAACGCAAAGATTTTCCAAGCGTCAAACAAATTCCTATCGAAACAGCTTATTTTATCGTATAGCTTTGGTAGAAGCTAATTAGAGTGCGTAAACCACAGAAGAACGGATTTTTTTAGAGCGCAATCACTCCAAAAGCATTTAGAGCATTCTGAAAAAAGTAACGGTCCTCTTTCTAAACTGCACTGGGTTTAGTATATAGCAGATATGTCAGACTTTGTTACCCTACAAAAAATTTGGACTCAAATGATTCCAATCTTGAATGAAAAATGGACCTTTGCTTTAGGTGTTCGTATAATTATGAACCGCTAAAAATTCGGATTAGGCGCAAAAACGCTCCTAAGATTGATATCAACTTCCATTCTTATGGATCATATACCGTTTTCGGCTGTGTTCTATTGCGTGATACCAATGGCTTTTCGAGTTGCTCCCAAAAAGTCCAAAAACTTACAAAATTCTGGGTGTTTGTATAATTATGAGCCGCACTTTATATGTAGGTGATGTTACGAAAGCTTTTATAACGGAATTTTCGATATTCATATCTGAGTAAGAAGCTTAATTTGAAGCTGTGAGAGGTTTGTCCGCTACGAAATTGCAGCGAGGAATGATTTACAATACTTTGAGCATGTGATATCAGATAGCGAGGGTGGTTCATTTTAACTATAGGTCACTCGCCTCATGCAAATTCGAAATGATCTGAAAAATAAGCTATTAAAGCGCAAGTTTACACTGACACTTTGCGTGATGACCAGCGCGACTCTGCGGAGCAAAGCTGAAGAGCTGGTTCAAAGTTATGTTATGTCTACAACCTTGTATCATGGAAACTGTACGACTAACATCGAAATAATGTCTTTTTATGGTTGATTACTCAATTAGAAATCTTCCAACATCGTCATAAGAAAGTCAAATATGAAGAAAGGATATGTTGTGTTACTCTGATGTAGCGTACATCACAAGATGTGAAAAGCAAATTCTGCACGTACCGGTGAGTTTATATCAACATCCTCATACGTTCCGTCCTGCAAATGCATTTTTGATGCAATACGAAATTTGCAACTCTTTAGATACCTGTTCAGATTCTCGACCACTCAAATGCTTAGTAGTATTGTCGTCTTCTTGTTCACTTTCAATCAAAGGTGCCCCCCTTCTCATTCCTTCATGAGACTGAGCTGTTGCTACTCCTGTTTGCAAATCCTTTTTCTTTCTTTTACTGTGATTTTTTTCTGCAGCTTTTGCGGTCGTTTTTGAGTCAACTTTGTTCTTGCCAGCTGTATGCCTTTTGTTGCACGTAGCAAACATTATCAAAAGCATTGCAGCCGAGACGATCATATCAACAATCATCTGTAAATTAAGTCGACAGTTTAAAAAGAAGGGAGTCACCAAACTTTAGACAACTTTATAACTCTCTGTTAACTCAGGAGTAAAAGTTTGGTCATCCTCCAATGGGTGATTTGGCATCAAACAAACGAAAGTATCAAGAAAAGTTTGTTCCAAAAGTAAACTTCTTTTTTACATAATTCAAACAGTTTTGTTTTCCTAGTGAACTTAGGGTATCATTCGATAGGACAGATCAAGCTCTACAGAAAGACCACCAAGGATCTGCTTAACTCGCATTCCCAGTGATGCCGAAATCGAAAAAATTTAGTCACCTGATAAATGAATTGCGAGAAAAAAACCCTACAGACTTCCTCAATTCACAGCAGACACATAGTAGTACTCAAATATGCCTTTGCTGGATTTTTCCGCGCATAGAAAGCGAGGAAAAAGACAGTTCAAAGATAACAAACTCCGCCCCAGCCCCTCCCACATATTTCATTGCATACTAGAAGCCTCAGTTAGTCAATCTCAAAACTTTACCCCTGTGTGTGCTCTTATAATCGAGAAATACCAAATTTTACATGAATTGAAAAAAGTGGCATTTTGGCATTTTTGGGCCATCTTTATTTCTCAATTCTGAGCCCCGAAAATTTTCCAAATACATTTTTGGGAACTAATAGGGTGTCTCATAATTTTTTTTTACCGTTTTTACCCTAACCATTAGCATTTCTCGAGAACTGAGGCGCCTACAAAGTATACAGATACATGATTGTAATTCTGTATGTATGGGCAATATGATCACGTGCGTGGGAGGAGCTGAGGACGTCTAAGGGCGGAGTTTGCCATTTTACATCACTCATTTTTTCTTTATTTCTAGCCATGGAATAAATTCGGTAAGTGTAAAATTGAATACGCGATGTATCAAGCATATGTTAGGATAAATGGGGAATTTTTTGGATGATTTGGGCGGAGATACGATTTTTAACAAAAAAGTTTGTTTTCGAATATTATAAGATTTTAGCCCAAAACATCACGTGGGATATGAGTTGGGCAGACTTTTGATAGCCATCTTGTAGAGCTTGCTTTGCCTTATCGAATGTTTACTCAAGCCTCATCAGATGAAGGGAAAATGCAAACATACGGCAGTTGTAGTAAAAACGATAAAAAAATTATGAGACACCCTAGAACTATGTGTGTATTATATAAAGGCCAAGTTGGAAGTAAGTAGGAATTTTCTTCAAAGAGATTCGATTTTTAAGGTCAAAATTTTTGATTTTTGTCTCCAAATTTTACCTGATCACGACTTGAGTGTATCTTCGGCGGTCTTTTTGTATAACTTGTTCCGCTTTATGGAATGGTGCCCTAAGTTTGCTAGAAAAACCAAAACAGCTCAATTTATTTGAAAATGGAGTTTTTTTTTCAGGACAACCTAATAATATCACCAGCAAATGTAAGGTTAGCCGTGTTATCGACTTTTCAATTTTTTCGAACAATTTTGCTTAATTTAATGCTCCTTGTTGAGCTTGTGAGGCTTCAGGCCTTCAAGAGTTCCAGTGAGAAAAGCGTTAATGAATATCAGCTCGCCCTTCTGCCATTTATTGGAACACAAAATTGAATTATTTACTTACTAGATTTGGTTTTGTTTGAAAAATTTTTGTGGAAAAATTCAGTTAGAAGGTCACAAAGTATGAATGGGTAGATATTTTTGCAGTATTTTCCAGATTTTTTTGCATTCTGCTAGACTTGGGACCTGAAAACTTCCTCCGCTATATACTTACTTTGTGCCTCTTAGGCAACTCCTTAGCAAGCTATGAAACGGATAAAAGAGTATTAATAATCTACGTGTTAGAAAAGTTGTTCGGGGCCAGAATGAAAAGGTTTAACATAAGGTCTATCGGTTTTAACATTCGATAGAGTCCTCGCCAGAGAATGCGTTATTGCCAGCCATTGCACGTCATGCTTACCTGGAAGGCGAGCAAGCTATCATATAGACGGTATGGTGAGTCTTTCAATTATTCTTACGCCAATCAAACATTAAGGTCCTCAATGACTCGACCATAGTGTATTTCCAAGCAAATTTCTCTCGCAAGGAAAGGAGACCAACAGATCTGGCAAACCTTGAAGAGATATTAACCAAATGAATTAATCAGTAAACGCTGATTCCAAATCTGCCTTCTTTTTCTGCAGAACACTCGCTGAAAGAAGCTATGAGCATTTGAAAGTGTTAATATTTTGCACCTTAAGTATACTTAATTAGCGCAAAGCTTTACAAAAGCACTATGCGAACTTCCACTGACTGCATATTCATTATAGTCATTGTACTTAATACAAGGTTGCTGCCCCTTTGTTTTTTCATAGCTTTTCGGTAATATTATGCCACTTGAGGCTCGACAGATTTGGACTTTCGAACGCTCGTTATTTTTTTAAAGAGTGTTTCGCCAAGAGGAAAAGCAGAGGAGGAATCGCCGAAAGACGCGTTCAATGATGTACCTCTCCTTGCGTTATATGATGTTAAGCTTTCTAAGATTAATAGTTCCTTCCTTTATTGTCTGTACATTCAACAATCAGCACCGGTCTTCGTTTTGGCGGAGATCGCCTTTGGCAAGACCTGGAAGCGAGTCAGTGCAGTAATTCGCTCTAAAGGTAGGCATACCTTCAAAGATTATAGTATGCCCACCACTCTGACAATGTGTTAAGCCATTACTCGAAGTTTAGTGTGGCGTCGTGGCGTTATGGAGCAAAGCTACGCCGCATTTGCCTTCGGTATATACTGAGGGCCCATTGCGTCGGTCTTAACTGCTGTTACAGAGAAACTAGCGTTAACAGCGGAATGAGCTATTTTCCAACTTCTTCATAGCTAAACGATTTTTGAGGACCTCATGATCTCATAATATCATTTGAATAATATGAAGTCGTGAGGAAAAAGTTCTATAAAGCAGAACCCAAGAAAAACAAAAAAGGAAATCCAGTTTTTTCGGAAGGTCATTGACGGAAAATTTCGGTACCTCTCTACTAACTCTCGTGTTCCATTTCTCTTGAACACCTTTTTATTTGGATTCAACTTTGGTTCATCCTTAAAATTCATCTAATTTTTTGATTTTTGATTTTTTTCTTGTATTTGTACACATTGAACATCCTCTTAGAGCGTGGCGATAGGAAATGGCATTTCGCTGGCAGGAGCAGCGCTGCTCCTGCCACTGCAATTAAAGGCCACGCAAAGCAGATGGTCCTTAGGATATACTGCAGGATAATGCTAGCTCTTTCCATAACGCCTGCCCCATTTAAAGTGATGAAATGAGCTTTCCTTCTATGATCAGACTCGAATCCACACATTTGTAGGAAAGAGGCGAGTTCATTGTTAACAGCCACCTCCTTTTTCCTGCTTACAAGGAATGCGTGTTTAGGCGAAGTAGCCTTTTTAGATGGGAGTACCATAACAAATGGTATAAATTGCTGATTCCAAATCTGCCTTCCTTATCTGCAAAGCGTTTATGGACGAGGAGTTATGAGCGCTTATTGGGGCAAAAAATTGAATGTGCAAGTAGGACAAAAATAGCCGTTTTCTAGCTCTTTAATGGAGCAGTGATAATAGAGCACTTTATTTGTATATTATTCTCAAATAAAAAATATATCACGGTTGGTTGGGTTGAGGGCTAGTAAGACTGTAGCAACTCATTTTATCAAAAGTGCACGTACAATTTTTGGTTTTGAAAAACGCGGAAGGCGGATATGGAGTCAGCGTTTTATGCTCTTCAATATGGTATAAAATCTCATTCAAAAAAGCCACCGACTAAACAAGCTTTCCTTGTTAGTTTAAAACATTTGCATGAGGCCCAGCAAGCTCCATGGCTTTTCGCGTCGCAATATTCAATTCTTTGGAAAGGACAGCAATGTTGACTTCAAACTCCAAATCCTGTGGCCGTATTCATCAACGAACCCTGAGGTTAAATTCAACCTTGAGAGCATGCCTCAAGGTAAAATTTAACCTCAAGGTAACTTTGCTATTCACAAAACTACCTTAAGGTTAAAATCTACCTGGTGGTCAAATGAATGTTCACTGACGCTTTTTCGGAGAAAGGATTGGCGCGTTTAGCGTGCGATGTGCAATCCACACAATACACCTCCAAAATCCATCCATCATCTGCATTTCTTCGATAGCATGTTTCTATTTCTTTAAGAACTGCATGAGAAATGTGCCTAGCCGCTTTGACATCTCTAAAACATATTGAATCTCTTATGTACTCCTCGCTTTGCTCAAAGGGCAACGTGGTTCGTTTTTTGAATATAGTTCTACATGACCGCAGAAAGAAGAGCGGTGATAGTGCATGAGAAAAGAGAAGTGACGCGCTGTACACCATTTCGTGCCCTGTGCAGGAGCCCTGGGCGGACGCGGACGTGGTTTACTACACCATAGTGCAGTAAACTTACTGCACCATAGTGCAGTAACTGTACCCATTTACATTAACATAAAGGCTGCTGCTTGACGAAGGCGCAGCAACTTTGGGAGCGTCGGCGGCTATATTAGCCGCGGAGCGCAGGAGGCGCAGGATTTACAACGCTGAGGATACGCGCGCGTCGCGTTCGCGCCCGCTCACTGACGCTGCTTCTGCGCCTCCTTCATGCAGCAGTTTTACATGTTAACTAGCTGGCTTACCCGGCTCCGCCGTATGTTCCGAATAGAAAATTCCATTTCTTAACCGATCCGGACCAAACTTGGCACACATATAAGCTCCTGCAAGACGAAGGCGGTCGGTTCGAGGTACGGCGTGGCTGTGACGCGGCTGTGACGCAGCCATGTCGCAGCCGCGTTGCGCATTGAACCGACCGCCTTCGTCTTGCAGGAGCTTATACACTTCGGGCCCCGGCGGGTGCCACAGCCCACTTTTCGTTGATCGAAGTCGATTTCAGCGACTTTTTGCAAAATTTGAGCTACGGAGCTGGGAGCTGGCACAGGGGGGTAATCGAGCATGCTGATCACCCCCGTGGGGGTGATCAGCATGCTCGATTACACCCCCTGCCAAATT